TGAATATAATAACCTCTTGTGTCTAGTCTAATCAGCCATCTTTTCGGCTTGTAGATGATTCCAAAATCGATGCGAGTCTACAGACACACCCCGAAACACAGCTTTAATATTATCATTATCGAATCATGTTTCTGTAAATAATTGTCTTTTATGACCCTTTCATCTAGTTTTCCTATTTATCTTCTTCCATTGATTAATTGATCGGGGTTTAATAAGTTTTAATTAATAATCCTACATATACAACACCACACGTCATTAAAACACTTTACAAATAATATGCTGTTTACATTTTCTCTTTCGTTGTTATAATAATCAATTCTCAAAAACATTTTAAGTCGACTCAAATTTTAAATTAGCCCAGCTCGATATTAACAATATGAAATTTTTGTCGATTTTTACACTTCAAACTTAAAGAGACATCATCACTTTCATCAATGTAATTTTTGTCGATTTTTACACTTCAAACTTAAAGACATCACCAGTTTCATCAATGTAATTTTGGTCGATTTTACACTTCAGACTTAAAGACATCATCAGTTTCATCAAAATAATTTTTGTCGATTTTTACACTTCAAACATAAGTCGACTCAAATTTTAAATTAGCACAGCTCGATATTAACAATATTAATTTTTGTCGATTTTTACACTTCAAACTTAAAGAGACATCATCACTTTCATCAATGTAATTTTTGTCGATTTTTACACTTCAAACTTAAAGACATCACCAGTTTCATCAATGTAATTTTTGTCGATTTTACACTTCAAACTTAAAGACATCATCACTTTCATCAATGTAATTTTTGTCGATTTTTACACTTCAAACTTAAAGACATCACCAGTTTCATCAATGTAATTTTTGTCGATTTTACACTTCAAACTTAAAGACATCATCACTTTCATCAATGTAATTTTGGTCGATTTTACACTTCAAACTTAAAGACATCATCAGTTTCATCAAAATAATTTTTGTCGATTTTTACACTTCAAACATAAAGAGACATCATGACTTTCACCAATGTAATTAAATTGGGGTAACCAAATTACTATAAATTAAAGAACTATTCAGAGTAAAGCATTTTGACTGAATGTTCAGTGACCTCTCGAAAAATGCTACAAAATGTGCATGACTCGTAAATTGAAAGTTAAAACTCCTTCATCTTAGCGATGGACTGGCAGATTGGATACAATCTAATATGGACAACCCCGTGTAGCTATATAGACAATTTATGTAGCTGAAATCATTTTTTTCCTGCACGAGGGCAAGTTTTTTTAGTGAGATTTTTAACGTTCCTTTCTTTCTCAACGGGCCGATTCCCCATGGGTAATAAATGATTCAAATGGGATGACACGTCATACACCCGCCTAATATTGTACTTTCATTTTAAAGTCTACCGTGATAAAATGCTATCGGTCATTAGTCACATATAACTTTATTTTTCAAGAAGAATGGCTATTACTAACATAACTAAAAGCAAAACATCTTCCAATAATTCATAAATATTTCAAGGAGTGTTTTCCACGCATTCAAAAGATTTAAAGGCTCAATACAACTCTTGTTGTAACTGAATAATATGTCCCAATCTTTATTCTGCTCAACAAATTGTACTATTTTATATATAATATTCCAATTAATTGATGATACAAATTTCATCTTAACACACCTAATTTTAAAAATTGGAAAAATTTAACTAAATGATTTGAAAAGCCTAACGTAAACCTTTTCAAATGTGACTTGGATTTAAAAATATTTTCGAACCCTCTGGACAAGTAAAATATGATGTAATGGTAAGACACTTAAACATATAATTCTTAGAATAAGGCTATTGTTTATTTTCTGGAGGTGTCAAGCCAGTAAGAGTGTTATTGTCCCTTTAACAAACTCAAGCGCAATTATTGTTAATGATTTGGTTCTATAATGAACAAACATATTAATGTCGATACAATATTATTTGTGTGTATCTTTGTTAGGTCGCACTATACACACGCGTTCTACATAACATTACATTACATTAAATTTGTCTTCAAAATAGGATATCTCTCAGTAATAATAGCAGTGAATAGCAACGGACTGACTGAATAGCAACGCTCAAGAGGAGCTAAGATGGCTCAGTGAGTAAGATGTTGGCTTGCTAACCTGGAGGTCCCGTGTTCGATCCCTGCGTTGGGCGAGAAAATGATTCCGGCATGGTTCCTCCTTGTTAGTGGTGCAGGAACGAGTGCCTGGCAAGGGACAACGTATAGTCGTTCGAGTGGTATGGAAAAACGAGGTCACGTGTACACATCAGCGTGCACTTAAAAGATCCCTTAGCCGTTGGAATTCGATAATAAGATAGGCCGTAGCGTCGCTGCCCGGTCAAAATGTTCCTTACTGCACACTACATGGTGTATGCCCTTCTTTATTAGCTAAGTCGGAGCAGTAGGACGTTAAATCCCTTTTCATTTCATTTAAGGTTTATGGATTATAATGTTCCGCAAGGCTCGAATAAGCCACACATCAGTTAGTTGGAATTTCATCTAACCCATGTGATAATCGAGCGTTAAAGAAAGCGTCTCCGTTACAAAGTCCCACGTATTCTTCAGCAAATTAAATCAACTTTAGTCTGGCTTGTAAATCAGCGATGATTATTTGTTTTAAAACTAAATTCTTTTCAAAATTGAATCGAACGTGGTTCACGTATACACGAGATAATTCAATAGCCCAACAAATATTTCTCCCTTAACCAATTTTTCCACAAATATGTAAATCAAATTAGGGAATCAGATTTGTTATTGTCCTATAGGCACCTGTTTGATATATTGATGTACAAACAGCAGGAGTACATTTTTCTAAAATTTCCCAAATCCCCTGCCCCTCCCACTCCCATGTCATTTAAGGACGTAATGATCACATGCATGGCCATAGCCCTGGAACTCTACGGTTCAATTCGGCAGGCTACAAAGGAATGACGGTATAAGATCGCATTAAACGATCCCGTAAAAATGTTTGAACAAAACTTATCTTTCTATAATTTGAATTCAGTAACAAATCACTACTCTTAGTATTTACGGTATTTAACAGATTTGATATTAATCTCCACATAAACGACCGGCAAATAAGTTAGATTATGGTGGTTTGGTAAACTGCCATAAAACCTCAACATTATATGTATGGTTAATATTTGCCGTGTATATGTCTTTGGGGTATAATATAATGTAGAAAATATTCGTTATTTAATATTACTACAGAGCTTTGAGCTATAATGTATACCAAGCTCAATCTACGAACCAAAAAAAAAAATAAAACGAACTGTAAATCACTTTGATAGAACTAAGTTTATATTTCAAATACACAGTAAATTCCAGAGACGGCATACAATGCCGAATAAAAATTTTGTAGGTTTATTTCATACCTTGTGCAATTTCGGTTGGATCCGTTAAATTATTCCATTTTTAAGGTATCTCTCATATCGAATTTCAACCGTGAAATACTGACATGGAATGCAATCACATTATAATCTTTGTTAGATTATGCAGTCGCATTGCAGTCGCGCGGCAAGGTTTCGAATAGCGAATATTAGTATTGTAAATACCATACAACTTCCATGACAATTAACTCTGGTATAAATGTCCTGGTCAAAATACCAATAACACTTCTATCCGATATTTGATTTATACAATAAGGTTAACATAATCTCTTTATTATTATTATTATCATAATTTCATTTTTAAAGCGCTACATTATAACAATAGTTATTTCTAAGCGCTGTACAGTCATATCTACACAATGGTAGGCACATGGTTCTATTTATAAGAGTCACTAAACAGATGAGTCTTCAGTTTAGATTTAAACTGAGATAGTTGAGTACACTCTCTGATGTTTCTGGGTAGTTCATTCCAAAGTTTGGCACCCCTAACGGAAAATGAAAACTATTAATTAATTAGAAAGTCGTGTGGCTAGTTTTAGAATTTTCATGATTATTAATTAATGATGAATATCAATAATGAGGATACCATAGATCTTCCATGACATACATTGATATAATATATGGTCTGGTCAAATTACAATTAACACTACAGAAATGTAAAAAAATAGATGTACAATGATATTTACCTATCTTTTTATAACATCTATTACACCACATCTCCCTATTGATTGTATTATATATTATTTACAAAAGAGAGAATTAGTGACGATAACATATAGATACGCTAGCTGTTGACCTATACAGAGAAATTAAGTCAAATCTTCTTCTCTGGAAATATAATTAAAATTAGATTCGGTTGAGATCGACTGCACTTTTATTTTGTTTATCTCTATTGTGTTCAAATACCACTACATGCAAATACGATCACTTCTGCTTTAAGTCGCGCCTAAAACGTTTCGATTGGTTGAAACCAATCTCGCACAAGGCATCTCTTCACTGGCTATAGGCTACGAGAAGTCAGGTTAAGGTGAACTTCTTAAAGAAGTAGTGTTCGTAACATAAAAATGAAAACAGGAGCTGCCCAATTTATCCCACAACCAAATTATGTAAAAATGCAAACTGTATTACTATATTGAAATATTAGCCGGTGCCTTAAATTTATGTTCTTTCTGGAAATTTCCATATAAATCTCTCAATGATATGTGCAAAAAGGGTACTTCAGTAACTTTGGAATATGTCATCATAGAAGGCTCATGTACTAAAACTTTCTTTGCGGATCATTGCGAATCATTGTATATATTGATAAGGTATCTAGGGGAATCTGTCTCCCTAATCCTGATGATACCCATGCGCATTACTGTTTTAAAGAGTAACGCGAATTTACAATCTAAAAGTTTGACTATTATTTTATAGCTGAATTCCGGAAGGCGAGAATATGAATATAACAGAAAGGGGTATAATGGTTGTTCTGGTTGAGAAATCAAAATAAGGGCCAATTGTTGAAGATGTATAGCACAATAAATAACACAATAAGGAAGTATCAGATATTTTAAGTTAGTGAGAAACTATATATACATTCAAAAATAGCAAACGTACCTGTCGCTTAGCTTCTTCATACGCCTGTCTCTTTTCAACATCCACATCTGCATCATCATCATTAGATGATAATGACGAAGATGAATAGTTGAGCATCCTATTGATATCCTCCTGCTCCTTCTCAGACATGGCGTTTCCTCCAATAGCCGACATAACAGCGGTGGGTGGCATCAGACGTTATGAAATGGTTGAAGGCGATTAATCCTTGAATAAGTTAGCATTGGTTTTAAACATCCCTTTAGTGCAGGTAAATAATTATATTCAATCCGATTCACAGATTACCGGGCGAAGCCGTGATAAAATCGCATTTTCCATCTAGGTTTTAGAACATGATACTTATCTTCAGCACTTTTAGTATTATGATATTTCCCATGTAATATCATAATGTAGCCTGGTAGGCCAATTCAGTATCACGATCAATAATATATTTGAATAAGACTTACATAAACCAACAGCTCATTGAATAGATATTTAATCATATTGTACTTCCAGGACTACACATCAACACAATACACGCTTAATCAATGAATGCTTAATCCAAAATAGCTTCTTCTAGTCTAGAATGGTGCACAAAAAAATAGTGGTGTGACCCTGATCAATACAACTGTTTCTTACGCGATCGTTCGACTGAAGTACGTATACAATTTAGATTGGGTTGCTCATTGATGAGAAATTCGTTTACGAAGTCAGCAACATATGGAGAAGTATCGGGGAGTTACCTCCATGGTTGATTTACATAGAACTAGATGATTTCATAAAACATATATATCACCTTGTATACAGTGGTAATCCGGCACAGAAGAAATAACGTGTATCACTCACGGAACACGCAAACACTTTTCGTGACCTGTATATGATACGCCTTTGGGTAACTTAAAAACACAACACAGTTTATATGGAAATACAATCACTGGTTTATAAGTATAGCACGACGTTTCGACAAGTATTCTCTTATCGTTATCAAGCACAACGGGTAACTTCTTTGGTTCGTTGAGGTATTAAACAACACAAAAGAGTCTTTGAAAATGTTTAATGCTCACTGACAAAGGATTTGTCGTCGGGGAGCGGTAGAAGATGACAGAGTGGGGGTATTTCTGGAGGTTTGACGTCATACAATATACCCATAAAAGTATACTGTGGTTGATTCCATTAACGGCAAACAGATTTGAAAAAAAAACCATCAACACAGGGAGCCCGTCCTAAAATAATTCAGTAGCCGATGAGCTGTCAATGAATCTGACAAACGCCACTACAGTAATAGGTCACCGCTATCAAAACGTCGTTATACCAATTATTTGGCCGAGAGAAACTTCTCGATGAATTTAGCACCAAGTTGACTATATATGACAAGAAATCAATATCACCTTTAGGCGATATATCCTCAAACATTATAGGCACCAGTGATATGACTTCGGCGTATGACCCAGTTAATGCCAATATTCGTCTGCTAAACCAGACAACGGCAGCAAAAGGCTCACAAATCACAAAAAGTAATTTCCTGGAACTCGGATCAATTCTAATATACATGTACAAGCAAACAGGGCACGAAGACCACAATCATACACAACTCTTATTGTCAGAAATCCAATAATATTCTTAGCTATATTTAGACTTTCTTTTCTTTACGGTGGTAATCGGTTGATTTCTTAAAGAACTGGTGCCACAGTAATGAGTCGTCTTTCATTTCACCAAATCTACATTTCTAAACCTAGGCGACATGTTAGGTGGTTTCGTTCGTCCATTTTTACTCCACTGTCTTTGCCGCCTCATCAAGTACTTTATAAGTATGGTTAAATGTGATGCATATCTGTACGCCTTGTTAGCGGCATGTTATGTCTTGTTGACTTCAACCAGTAATATGTCAGTAGTTTACCGATAAAGTAAAGGTACCCATGTACAGCTCTTCTTCGTCATTATTGATTTCATGACAGTAAAACCGTTCTATTTTTATTATTACACATCGAAAGAACAAAAGCAATCTATAAAAAATTCTGTTGCATTCTAATGATTTATATTTTTAATGTAAACAAAGCTCGGTTTAATTACAAATAGCCAGAATTCACGTATCTTTGATAAGATCCTGAAACAGTTCGTTCGTTCGGTGCGACATAGCTGTGAATAGAAGAATGGTCATTGTTAAGGCAAACGTGTTTACATGACGAATCTTAACTGCCATGGTGCTAATTTAATAACGATAAATTTGTCGAGTTGAACTACAGTGACAGACAAAGAAAGCATAGTATCGTCAAATTATCTGCAATGTCGTATTGATCTGGTGTGGTAATAACGTATAGATAGGCTGAAATTTCTACTCCCTTGTGGACAATTACCTTTAATTTACTATTCTTTCCGAAGTTTTAATCAATAAGAATAAAACACCGACTGAATAAAATGCGAGTCAATAGGGTTAGACTAGAAATCTGAAAGGGAATATATATCCAAGCTCGATACAAATCTCTTAGGTTACAAACCTTATTCAAATCAGTCTTCATGTACTTAGTTTAAACGATTTTTATAGCATAATGTACATATTTCAAGATTTATTTACCATCTCTTGACCGAGGATAAATATTCTTATTGTAACCCGCTGTTACACCCCATGTAGCATCATTGATGATAGCCATATTTTGATTTAATTTAAAAATGGAGGAGCGAGACTTATCTTTGAACAACCAGTGCGGTGATTGAAATTATTGCACACGTCTTGTCACACCTTCAAAGGCTAATATCTTCGCTCGCAATAGAGTAATTGGAATGGAATTTTCAATATATTCAGTTTACATTATGTATTTTTGAACTATTATAGCAAGAACCGCTAGCTCTTTATCTAAATCTTACAGAATGTATCTTTAATGTATCGTGGCTGATGATATTTATTGTGCCGTGCTGTATGGAATTATCGTATCTTGATTGATACCAACAAATCTGTGTAAATCAAACTCAAATAATATAAAATATACTAGTAACCATACAGTTCCGAACAATGGCACAGGAAACTATAGGTCACTGATAGACTGTAAATTTATACAGGGCCGCATCCCGCCTATTAATCGTAGCGATCCTTGGATAACGGTAAGAGACTCGCATCAAACTGTCTAAGCGTTTTGGGAATTGCTTTATGATATAGCTTATGGGTTTTATACCATGGGTAACACCAAGGGTGAATGAGAAACGTGGAATCTGGCTTGAAAATAAACCCCGCTAGTTGGACTACACCTAATTCGATGGTAGCAAACATAATTCATATTCTGATATCGCCGGTTGTCTTATTTTCTCGTTCGGTTTCGAGTGACAAAGTGGTTTCCAATTTTCTTTGAAACTTATTTTATCAATATCCGAGTACCGGAACATTGTTGTTTAACCGAACATATTCTGCTCAAACGAAGAGCCCAACAATGTGTTGGATCTAACATTGGAGGTACCATATGAAAGTTAATCGAAATGGATAGGTACACTTCATGGAGTACAGAATAGACAATACCAGACAAATATACTATTCCACTGCATAAGACTCACACGAACTCGAAGAAAAATTCCCGACATTTGTGTAAGAATAAACATATAAGATACCACATAACACTAAGTTACACTTTAATGTGTCATATGCTACGCTAAGTGTTTGATCAAACCCAATTGGGAGGCATTCAATTGATTTGTAGGTGTTACTAAGATCCAGTTAGGTAATTTATTATTCATTAAATATGTCTACCATTTTACTTGCAAAAATGTTATGGATATGTCATTTTTTTTGTAAATAAAAAAGGGTATCTAAGCAAGCTAGGCACATAGTCAACCCCCTACGCTGGTCTATAGTATCTGACTATATTAGAACCACACACTTTTCTCAGCTGTTAGCAATTTGTTGCAGCTAACCTTTTGTACCAGATCTCCATGCACATAATTATAGCTGTTCTTGAATATCATAACCACTTATTATACCCAGCAGGGCAATCATAGTCGCATAAAAGATTACAATATCAGACCGATTAGCAAGTCTGAATAATAAGTGGGTCAATGTATATTATTAAACATACTAATTAACTTATATTTATTGACCTTGTATCATAATATAATATAACGTCGCTGTGTTTGATATTTGGTCTACCCCCATGCTCCACAGAATTGCCAACATAGTTTGTTATCGATTTTAAGCCAGGTCTAAAGACATGGATGTGAAATAACAATAACAAGAAAGAAAGTTTTCTTTTCTTTATATTTGGTATTTATTAACAATCATAAAAAACAAGTTAACCATGGCAATGTAACAATCAAACATTGATTTCTTTCAACATTGTGTTTATCTGACGTTTCTTTAACACTCCTGTTTGTACAGTCAGTGGATACTTATAGACATGCGTTTAATAAACATGTATTTCATCTGCATATTTTAAGTAAACGGTTGAACGAACCATGACATGCTTACTGTTCCTAGATACCTCGTCAAACTTCTTTTTTGGGCCGACTACATGTGGCTAACACTGCAGTGTCGTTGTTTTCGGCTATCATTGCATTGAATTTAATGCTTTGGTACATGTTAATAATGACCAGAGGAAGGTTGGGGGTGATTCTCCAATTTGATTCGCATATACGTTTCCCAATATGGTAATAATCACAAGGATGCCTGCTGCGTTATGTAGATGTTCCTGTTCACGATTTCGGCGTAATTGTAACTTCCATAACCACCAACCAACTGGGTGACGTTGATCGTTAACCCATCGTCACGATGTAGATGTTCCTGTTCTCGTTCTCGGCGTAGTTATAACCTCCATACCACTAACTCACTGGATGACATGACGTTGATCGTTAAACCATCGTCACGATGTACACATATAGATGTTCCTGTTCTCGTTCTCGGGCGTAGTTATAATCTCCATACCACCAACTCACTGGGTGACGTTGATCAATAACCCATCGTCACGGTGTAGATGTTCCTATTCTCGTTCTTGGCGGAGTTATAACCTCCATACCACCAACTCATTAGGTTACGTTGATCGTATAACCAACCCATCGCCACGATGTCTCCGGAACTGGTCACATTTCATTATAGTTATAGCTATAGACTTTCAGATTGTTTCAATAGCGTAGATCTGAAAGTAAAAAAATCCATTTAGAAATTTTTGGGGCGTAAACTAGAATAATATTTCATTTAAGAGCGGAGGGGGGGGGGTACCCCATGCTGATAATATTTTCTTGGTAAAAAGTTGATAGAATATATATATCTAACCATAAGGATACAACCAAAATATCTGATTTTATTTTATATATTGTAGCTAAAACCACGATCGAAAGTCATTCTCAATAAATTATTATTATCATTCTTTTTTTTAAACTAAGATACTGTATCTATGATTTCAGACGATAAAATCCTTACCTTATTAAAGATATATTTCATTCCTCGATGACTTCTGTATTGATCAACTGACCCCATCAAAGACGCTCTCTGGTTGTCTAGACATCTAAGAAAATAATCCCAGCTAGCTTTGCGAAGATCTTTCATTCCGAAATCCACAGAAGCGCAATAAAGACCTGAAGAGAGTAGAATAATTAACTTTTTGAAGGATGAAAGGAAAATAAAAAAGTATGTCGGGAGCATGGTATACTTCTAGGCAATACGAAATAATTTTTTTTCAATGTAATCTAACTTACCTATAACATTATTGACATCCACTTTTATTTTACCACAGTGAATAAAACTGATAAATCTTCTAAATACTTCTTCATCATAATTCTTCATCTCTATCACCAGTTTACTTTTCAACTTTTCACATTTATCCTTCTTCTTATTGATCTTGACCACACGTTGGTTGTGAAGAATCAACTGATATAAAACGCGACTT